AAACTTTACCTTGCTTTACCTAAGTGGGCAATTTTGCAGACCTCTCTGTAACAAGCTCAAGGAACAGCAGGTGGGTGGAGTGAGGCAAAGTCTCAAAAATCTCTGCCTTGGAAGTTTCAAACCAAGGCCCCATCCTGCCCTTGGCTTTCTTCCCCTTTTATATTTCGGGGGTGGAGGGGAGGCCAAGAAAGCACAGTAAAGTCAACATAGCTGTTTCTGGGGGATGCATATTTCTTTCAGAATTCTTTACATAAAGTCAATTTTGTGACTGTATTTGTAACTCTCATTAATCTGTGCCACTCGATTATTATGGTGTGTTTAAAAGTCTTGAAAAGCCTCAAAGCACTTTTGGGCTATGAAACATGAAACAATCTGAATTATTATTACTACAAAGATGAAAGTTTTGTTGAAACCATGGTTAAGATTACATTAGAACACTAGCATCAATCTTCGGGGAATGTGTTTATTTCAGGCCACATATACTTAAGGCTTCTGCTATAGCCTCAGCATATAGGTCCAAAAGAAATCAGCAGTGTAGGTGCCATGTCTTCACAGAACAAATTAATTCTCTTGAACAAAGATCTCTTGAGGAAGAGAGAATGGAGATGACACTATTGCCTGGGGGGAAGGAACTATAAGATGCAACACAGAAGGCTCCCATCTTACCCCACAAGCACAAAGACAGGAGGTCCAGAATGATTTATTTCCTACCAATCTCTTACAAAAGGAAAAAGTCAAATCTCAGTCCTGGGACAGCCAACACGACCTTAATGGGAGGGCCAGGAGCAGTCAGGGCACAAGAGATGAGGCTGGAGATAAAACTGCATCATTCAAAGCCACTAAAAAAGAAAAGAACACTTATTCCAGAGGCAGGAAAGCCAGGATTATGGCTCACATACAGCACTGTAGGGTTCGTAAGTACTTAAACATTGATTTTTAAAAGATTAAATGGAAGCTAAATGACCATGGTCCCCCAGCTAATAAAAAAAGCAGAGGGAGGATTCAAATTAAGGTTTTCCTGAATTTCCTGAATTCACTCCAACTACTGCCCAAATTCTAGCTGAGGACAACTCCAACTCTGCCTAGATAATCTAAGGCACCTCCAGGAAAGGAAGAAGCCTCATCGAACAGAGCCAGCACTTACTATCCACATCCACAGACACAGAAACACACACACGACCAACAAAGAAACCTGAATTTCAAGTCACCTGATCAGGTGGGCGATATCCCAATTGGTCTCTGCAGACAAAGGTCCCTCCACTTCAACTCCTTTCTCAGTCACTGTGGCAATTTCAAACTAAAGGGAAGAATAGCATATAATTGTTGTGAGGTTTCAGAAGGTCCCAGCAAGCCTGGCATGGTGCTGGAGGTCAGGTCAAGTGATGTTCTTTCCCTCAAATTTCAAAAGAGGTAAGATGAGGAATAAGGTGATAAGCACGTTAAATCTTAAAGAACTTGCTTTGAGGAGGCTAATTCCAACAGATACCCACAGACCTGCAACAACATCCCCAGCAAGACAACCCTTGACCTGAACACGCCTCTCACCCTGTTATATGATCGGGCATCTCGGTAGTACAACACACGCATGCAACGCTCCACCAGCTCCCGAGCCTCTGCTTGGCTTAGAACTGGCTTCTTCTCCAAAATCTCTCGCATCAAGGGCTGAGAGGGAAAGAACCACAGGGTTACAGAATTGGGGGGAAGGAGCACAGCAAAGGAGGCACATTTCTCTCAACTACCTTGAACATTGCTCACATTAAGGAAAATACTCTGTTCGATGCCTCACACCATACATAGTACTTTGTATACTGCCTGTTAGAGAAGCCCTCCCATTCCTGTCAGAGCTGGGAGGTTAGGGTCAGGGATCTTTCAGGCAAAATGTTCCCTTTCCCCTCTCTGATCTCTGCCTACTTACCTGGGCCAAGTAGGCACCATAACCAGTAGCCAGCGTAGGGGCTTCATAGGCTACACCAAGCATGTCCACATAGCCAAGGAAGCTAGAAAGAGACAGCCAGACTGGTCAGAGGACCCCTCCTATCTTGCAGTTCTCCAGATCCCACCCTACCATTAATTTATGAACTTTGGTCTAGGGATGGGACCCAGGATACTAGAGCTGAGCAGCTGAATACAAGCTAGGGGCAGAAGAGGAGCTATCTGTCAAAGCAACAGATGTCTTCACACCAACCTTTCTCCATCAGCATAGCCACCAATGACCATGGTGTTCCACAGTGGGTTCATCTTGGAGCGACGGCTGTACATGGCTCTAGTCAACCAAGAGTGGATGGCTTTCGGGCTATAGCTGTGTCCATCACCCAGCAGTTCTTCATCAATCCTTCAGAATAATTGATCAAAAAGGAAAAACAGTGAGGCAGCAGCCAGGGAGATCCAGCCCCCACCCACACCCCCATAAGATGTCAGTCTCTCATGCTGACCTCTACAGGAAGAAAATAGCCCAGGTCTTGCTACATCTCCCTCCTCTGGGTCCTCCCTCCCTCTTGCTACAGCCTCAGCAAAACAACCTATTTATTCTGTGTGGAAGGGAAATAATGATTCCTTCCTCCCCACTTGAGGACTCCTCAGGGCAGGTCCTAGGAATGAGGAGTCACCTCTTCACTGAACTGGCACCATGTCCCCCAAAATGACATGGGGAAGTGGGTCTTCGTATTGACTTACACCATCTGGTCAATGACTTGCTTCACATACTGGAAATCAGCATAGTCCCCAGAGGCACCAAGCATGGTATTGTTGTTGACACGCATGATTCGAGAGATATTTCGGAAACGAGCCAGGGAGCCATAGGACCCCAGCATATCTGCTGCAATTACTACACCACCCTCAAATTTCACACCTAGGACAGAGGTCCCCGTCACCATTGGGTTCCTGGAAAGATGCAACAGCGATAAGCACTTAAAATTTTTCAAAACATTTGACATACATTATCTCATCTGAGCCTAAAAAACAATTCTGTGAGGCAGATACTGAAGATAATAGTATCCCCATATTCCAGATGAGGAAAGTGAGTCTCAGAGAATAAGGGACTCATCATATATCTAGTGACAATCTGAGACAGGATTTAAACCAAGGTCTTCCTAACTCCAACTCCAGCACTCTTTCCGCTACAGCACACAGCAAGAAAGCTGGTAAACCAGAAGACACAAACACTCTTCCAACTCCTAATTCAACATTTGGAGCTTACAATCTAACGAGAAGGACACAGCAGGTAAGAAAATGATTACGATAAAAGGTAAAATGTGGTAGGGGCAAAGAGAATTAAGTAAAATGCTATAGGGGAATTTGAGGCAGAGATTCCTTTCACTCAGGGGACAGATTGAGAGAAAACTTCATGGAAAAAAGTAGTATCTTGGTTGGGCTTTGAAACAAGTGAGAAGCTTCTGAAGACAGAAAGAAAGATGTAGGGGAGGAAGAAAAACCAGGAAATCTACTCCAAGCAAAGAATAATTAATCTGTGCAAAGGCATAGAGATAGGAAAGGGCAGAAAAACAAAGGATGAAAAATAGTTCTGTCTAGCTAGAATGACAACACTGCCCGGATCCAAACTGTGAATGGGTTCACAGTTTTAGGAAGCAATGAACCAGGGACAGATTTTGAGTAGGGGAGTCACTGATCACAATTTATTAGGAAAGTTGCTTGGGCATCAGTATGAAGGATAAAATAGAACCGGGAGAGATCAGTTAGAAGATTATGACAATAGTCTAGGAAAGAGGTAGGGAGGAACCGAATTGGGATAAGGGCAGTACTAACAGGAATGAGGTAGCAGATGGGAGAGAAAGTTGAGGTAGAATTATCAGGACCTCGTAACTGATTGAATGAGGAATCCAGAGGAGAAAGAAGAGATAGCTGCAGTTTCAGGTGGTGGTTCCCATAAGAGGCCAAGGACTTAAGCGTGAAGGATAAATTTAGGGGGGAAAACGGTACATTCTGTTTCAGACACGTTCAGGAGCTGGGGGGCCACTGGCCCTTCTTCTAATTATCCAGCAGGGCGCTTTGGCTAGAGTTTAGAGACGGAAACACAGACTTGGGAGAGTCACGGACATTTAGGTTATAACTGAAACCACTGGAGCGGATGAGATCAAGAAAGAAAAGGTTAAATGAGGATCTAGACCAAGGACTGAGAGTCGATAACGGAACAAAGGCAGAACTATCACAGACGAGGAAAAAGATGAAAATGTCCCTAAGGAAAGGGCCTCGTGGAGGGGGGGGAAGGATGGGCACCGGGCTGGGGAACGGCGGACGACAGAAGCCTGGGGAAGGCTCGGCAATGGTTGGAGGCTGCGAGAAGGGTAGGAGCAGGAGAAAGGCCAAGAGAGCAGGCCCCGGCAGCGGTTAAAGAAAGGCCGGGGCTGAGAGTTCAGCTGCAGGGTCCGAGCGGAAACGAGGCCGGCGCCGGAAAGCCCCCAGACAGCAGTACACCTTCACTTCCGGCCCCCCACGACTCCTTCCGGTCGTCCCTCCCTCACCCGCTCTCCGAGCGCCCCCCGCCCAGTCCTCCACTCCGGGAGCCCCGGCCCCGGCTCGTGCTGCCGCCCAGCCCGGGGTCCGGGGACCCCTCCGACTTCCCCCTGGCGGCCCCGAGGCCCGGATCCGGGAAGGAAGTGGTGTGGACACTCACTGCGTCCGAGTAACCGGGCTTCCGCAGACGGTGCTGTCCGGCCCTGGGAAGGCTCCGGAGACGGGCGGGATGCGGTAGAACTGGCCCGGCGAGGGGCCCCCGGCCCACAAACCCGAACGCGGTTCCAACAACGGTTCCATCTTAGTCACTCTGGCGAGGGGAAGTGGAAGTGACGTAGGAAGACCTTCAACCTCTTTTTTCCCTCCTCCTTGGGGCGGGCCTGTGGATGAGGTCAAACGCTGTGGTGACGACGTCGCCATATTGAGTGTGGCGGACGGGAGTGGGGGCGTGCATCTAGCATCTAGAAGGCGCAGAACATGCTAACCCAAAACCTAAACAAGTTGCAGAATAGTCGCTCCCCCCTAGAAGTACATATATAATAGATGTAATACACATATATGCAAAATACACGCATGTTTATATATAGTAATGCCACAAGGTAGATATGCATACATATATGTATTTATAAACAGAACCACGTTTATTTTTATTTAATGTGGGAACCTATTCTGAACAGGCCAAACATCTTTTCTAAAACAGGTGAACTGAAACATCAAAATGTTCTAAGTAGCCAGCATCTACCTAATGCTTTAATGTTAGCAAAGCACTTGACAGGTATTATCACCTCAAGGTGATTCTCACAACAATCCTGTGAGGTAGGCATTGTTATTATCCCCACTTTACAGATGAGGAAACTGAGGCTGAGAGAGGCTAAGGGTGTGAACTCAGGTCTTCCTGATACCAAGTCCAGCATTCTATTCACTGCCACCCAGCTGAAGTAAGGCTAAATGAAACAGATGCTCAAAAGGGCTCATAAGCCTCTACCAGTGTATCCCCATTTGTTCATTAGGGAAAGGGAGACCTCCCTGGATCAGAGCAGAGCCCAAACCAGTCCCTTCTGGCCAGGCTCATTTATTTAGCTGGACAATTGGGGCTTGCTCAGTGCTCATGGCAAAAGGGTCTTCAGAGATCTCAGAAACTTACCAGGCCAGCAGAAAGTTCTGCTTTTCATCCCCTTGATTAAAAAAAAAAATACATTCTAGAAGTCTGCAAGGAGGTGAAGTGGAGCTTCCTGGCAAGTTCTGTACTATGGCTTGTACAAGCTATTCTCTTTTTGAAAGATCAGGACATTTGCCCTTCTCCCATCATACGGTACATCTCCCATTCTCCACAATCTGGAGTGGCCAGTTTTTTCAGTATCCTGAGGTATCGTACATCCAGAACTGCCCTTGAACTCAAGGGCAGCTAAATGTTCTCTTACTATCTCCCCACTTATCTTTGGCTTCAACTTCCTATTACTTATGGTTGTTCTTTCTAGTTCAAAGCTCATTCTCACTGGAAAAGAAAAAATAAGCAAAATAATAGTTGAGCAGCTGTGCCTTCTCCCCATCACTCATCATCATCTCATCTACCTTGAAAGTGGACTTACTCTTTCTCTGATCCTACTCTTTCTCCCCACCCCCTACCCCCATAGCTTTTTATTGCTCTTAGCTTCCCTCATCAGCCAGAGTTCATTCTCAGCTTTGGCGTTCCATGCCACATATTCATCCTCTGTTACCTGCCCTGCTTCCATCTTTTGGATGCATCAAAAAATATTTTTATTATTATGAACTTGACAAACATAAACAAATACGAACATAGGAAGGAGAACAGGAAAAAGAAGCTTTTATATCACACCACAAATCTCTATTATGTACAATTTGGTTTTCTTAAGAGTAGATTTTTTTTTAAAAATTTTATTTTTTAAAGAGGCATTTATGGTTAAATGACTTACCCTAGGTCACATGGCTAGTAAGTGTCTGAGCCCAGAATTGAATTTAAGTTCTCCTGACTCCAGGACCAGTATGCTATCCACTGCACCAACCAGCTACCCCTCAGAGTAGATATTATGTAGCATTCCCTGCCCCCATGGGCCACTCCCCTAACTCACACTTAAACTTGTGATTTGGGGTCCACCAAACCCCAGTGGAGCTATTGCTACTTATCCTCTCTGAGGGTTAGTAGTGATAACCCTAAGAAGCTGAGTTTCTAGTATTGCTATTCATAGGTCCCCACCAGTGTGCTCCCCATTAACAATCATCCAGCCAGAGTTAATTAGCATTTTTGGAAAAGGAATTTGCTAAATAGATGCAACAAAAACAATTGGTACATTATCTCTAAAATCCAAAGTGGACTCTCCCACAAGTACAATGACATGGGGTGGGGGTGGGGGCCTCAAACTCAAGGTATAAGTGTAGTGAGCCACATATGTAGGAAACACACGTGGTAAAGAGAGACCTCCCAACTCTTGGCCCTGAAAGACCTTTACTCCCTTTGCGGAGTCTTCATGAAGTTCCCCTTAGTTGTAGCTGTCTACTGGGATCCAAGGGCTAGTGCTTTTCAGAATCCATAATTGGCACTTCTTTCTGCCCTGAGGTGTTCACAATCCCTGAAGCAACCTTTCTTCAGATGACTATCACTCCAAATCCATTTGTCTTTAATGGGTCTCTCCAATCCTGCTACAGCTATTTCCAAGGACATAGTCTACTACCACTCTGGTAAATTTTGCTGCAACTGCCTTTCAGCCCTGCCCACCAACTGGTGCTCTGGTGGGACCTCTGGATCTTCCAAACTCATGAGGTTGTCACTCAGACAGTTCCATCTCTAGGTACTTATTTGTACAAGGTTGGCAAAGAACAAACAGAGATAGAGTTAGCCATATGCTCACATGGGGGAGACAGGATATCTACCCTACCCTCTCCCAGATCTTGTGGAGGCAATTCAAAATACACCTGCCTCCTCATAGCTATAAAGGAAACAGAGGTATAATGTTGGACTGACATTTTTGTATATCACTCAGTTCCAGCTCAACAACTCCTAAATTGGTAGTTCCAGTCAATTAGAAGAATTTTCATCATCACACAGTTCTGGGCTGTCATAACTGAAAACAGGTTCACCTCAGGTTTCTACATAGTTGCCTAGAATGAAGCCAGAAAGGAAATTCTCACATATTTCAAGGATTAGCACCCCCCCCATATGCCAGTCAACTCCTATTACATTCTCTTGAACCAGTCCCTATTTGCTTTCTTCAGCAAATATGCCAGGGGAAGAGGCTTTTTGAACTTTTTTGTCCTTATTTCCAATCCACAAATGTTATCTTGGGTTCAGCGAAGCTTAAGCATTGTCTTTTTAAGTGTTTTGTTTAAAAAAAAAAAAAAGAATTTTATACTACCCCAAACTTAAGAGGCGGAAATCACAGTCAATCCCAAATACAGAGTTATGCAAATTTGGAAAATAAAGAATATTTTACAAAACTAGTCAAAGTTTACTGCTTGCCTAATGCTTATAAAAACACTCTCTTGGTGCTTGCAAAGAACTCCCCAAATCCAAAGACAGTTAAAAGAGAGAGAGACAGAGACGAGAGAGACAGAGAATCAAGCTTTTGTCTCAAAAGAAAACATGGTAACTACAGGCTCCCAGAACACGTGGGGCTCTCCCCACATGGATTAAAGACCTAACTAGAAGTCACTCTCTCACTTTTCAGATTAGATGCAAAACTGGTTTGGTTTCATTCTTATGAAGAAACACTGACCTGTTGATACTGGGAGAAAGAAGGAATAGGTCACTTTCCCACTCCTCCCACTGAAGGGCCCCTGTGTACTAGGTTAAGTGAGGTACCTAGTGCTATAATAAATCATCACTGGACCCAGTTGCCAAAGTATTCTGGGAGAAAGATTTTTCAATGTATGGATTCCCTTGCTAGCATCCACTGTGAACAAAACCGAGACTTTGAGAGTGGGCTACTCAAAGGAACGCTGACTTCAGCAGATACCTAAAAATCTAGAACCACACTCTACCACCTACAAGGAAATATGCAGCCTGATCATTTCAGCTGCATGTTGGTGAAAATGTTGAGAATATTGAGACTTGAATATTAATCTCAGTGGAGTCAACATACGACATTTCTAATACATTCCACTAGAAATTATGCTATAGGCTTTATGCCATGTTTACTCATTGACATGTGTTTGGAAATGATACAAATATTCACTAGTACATCTTTCAGCTAATAGAGAAGCCAAACAAGTAACATGACTTAACTCATATGATTTGTTACAAAAAGAAATGATGGTATGATGCTGGAAGGCACCATAAAGACTTTTAATAAAGATACAGAATTGTGTTGGGAAATCTTGGTATTGAAGGCACTCACTCATAAGTTGGTTGACCAATTGAAAGCTTACTTATATAAAGGAGTTGAGAGATTTGGTAACTTAACCTGTTTACAGAATGGCGCCAGAGAGTAGAGGAGGCCCTATCAAAACAATTCACTGCAACCATCTGTTGCCCATTGGCAAGTAAGTTAGACTGTCTTTTTTTCTGTATCTCTTTTTTTCTTTTTTGTTACATTTTAAGTTCAAAATTGATTCCCTCCCTCCCTCCTCATCCCACAGTAGGGAAGGCAACCATTTGATGCAGATTTATAAGTATATGTAAAAGTATACTATGCATGCTTCTATTTATCAGTTCTTTCCCTGGAGGCGAACGACATCTTCCTTCATAAGCCCTTTATAATTGATCTGAGTATTTATAGTACTCAGAGTAACTTGGTTATTCACAATTATTCTTCAATAATATTGCTGTTACTGTATATAACATGCTCTTAGTTCTGCTTACTTGATTTTTCATTTTTTCATACAAGTCTTTCCATGTTTTTCTAAAATCAGCCAGTTCATCATTTCTTACAGCACAGTAGTATTCCATCACAATCATATAACACAACTTGTTTGGCCATTCCCCCAAATGATGGACATCCCTTCAATTTTCAGTTCGTTGCCACCACAAAGAGAGCTGCTGTAAATCTTTTAGAACATATAGATTCTTTACCTTTTTCCCCAGTCACCTTGGGAAACAGACCTAATAGTGGTATTGCTGGGTTAAAGTTTTCTAACTCTTTGGCATTATTCCAGATTATTCTCCAAAATGGTTGAGTCAGTTCAGAGTCCCACCAACAGTGTATTAGTGTCCCAATTTTTCCACATCCCCTCCAACATTTGTCATTTTTCCCTTTTATCATTTTAACTAATCTAATTGGAATGAGATAATAGCTCAAAGTTGTTTTCATTAATATTTCCTTAAGCAATAATGATTTAGAGTATTTTTTCATGACTGTATATAGTTTTGA